CACACATGTAAAATGCCCACCATTTATCTATTACGGTGAAGGTAAAAAATGGGGCACTTTCGAAATAACTGGAGGTTTCCCAAGAAAGGGCCATGATTAGACTTTCCATTTTTAAAAGATGTTAGAATATGTTATTCTCTTTCAAACAGTACCTATATAAGGTCATTTACACAATTAGTAATTTTTACACTTGTTGAAATGCAAAGTTAGACACTTCGATAAATTATGAAGTTTCAGCAGTATCTGCGCAACGAAACATGCGAGATCACCCAAAGTACCACTGCTGGAGTGGGTGGTTGGACAGTCACCAAATCCACGACGGCTTGGTGGCCTCAACGCTCAAAGTCAGGAGATATGGCCATTAGCAGCTTCGAGAACAAAGATACGCATTATTCAATTCTTTGCGGGTGAACGCATGTTTTCTAGGTATCATCTGATAGAGCTTTTTACGCTCTATCCATCCATATGCAGCTTTCCTCAGATTTTATCTATCTTCGGAAATTATAGGGCAAAACATTATTTTCTGGTCTTTTATTCCGTCGAAAGCTATTTCTCAGGTTTTTTCGCGTTTTTTCTGAATTTCAAAAGAAATCTCATGCATTCAACATACCGTTTGAAAGAGCATGAAGAGCTCTTTCGAATGGTATGTCATTTGCTTTACGACTTTACGGTATAGCAAAGATTGAGAATTGTTCCAAAAACTCTGAGTTCTTCACGGCGCCACGCGTACGGCTTTGAGAGAGGAGCAGTAACGCGTTGCCAGAATAATAGGCGAAGGTCGGTTATGTAAGCGACGTTTGAGTTGCAGCCTGCATGTCGTTGGTGAGAACAAAAAACCTCAAAATGTAATAAAAATCAGGATGTCCAATTTTTTACCTTCACCCATACAACAATTCCCTAAACTCAAACACAAGGGTGGAGCACAGCAGGCCAGATATTAACATAGGGGCCGGCAATCTCGGAAACCTCCCGTGGCGGTGTCGCCGGCATGTGCCAGGCGCGAGCGCTCACGGGGTTACCTCATCTGCGGGGTTGCCCGTCCTCCATGGCGCGTTGGATGTAGACGAACGCGTAAGCTGGGGACGGCGCTGCATCGATGGACTGGAGTGAAGAACTGGGACCCAACCGCTCACCAGTAACAAATTGACGACTGTGAAAGCTGAGACAGTAGCGTTGGGAAGGCGGGAGCAGCGCGAGAACAGCGTTTCGGGACCCCTTCGCAGCGCTTCGGCGGCCTTCTTTAAAGGAAGCCGCGAATCTGCGACAGTACCTCCCGGATAACAGCACCCATTTTTTGCATCAGAACATTGCTTTGTTTTTTGAAGCATATTTAGTTCCGACTTTCAAGAAAGAAGGGTCAATCTCCTGCCACACATGTCAAAAAAACATGTTATCATATCTATGTATTCAACATATCGTCTATGTAACGTGTGTTTTCTCTTTTTTTAATGATATTCACCTCCATTTTTGACTCACCAACTTGAAAAATCAAAAAAAACATTACTATTATGTTCATATATACGAAGCTGAATGTGTGTTTGTTTGTCTGTGTGTTCCGAACGCATGTTTCGAATAAAAATTTTGATTTCTGAACCAGTTCCGACCAAACTAAGCACAGATACACTTCGGAGCGAGGCGGGTCTCGGAGGCTACTTTTTGTCATTGATCGATATCAATTTTTCATTTTTTTGCAAAGTTTGGGCTACGTGACTGGGATTTGGACGGGAGAGGGGATAAGTAGGCATAGTTTGGGTTACGGGGCTGAGAATTGGCAGAAAGACCGCAAGCGAGCACGCTGATTTTGAATACAAAATTAAAGTTCAGAATTATGTATTACTTTTGTCGACTTCATCGATTTTCGCAAAGTTTGAGCTATGGGGCTGAGAGTTTTTACGGGGGAAGTGAGCATGTGATTACGAAAACACATTGGGGGCAGTGCATTGGCATATAAAGTTGGGACTGCGACGGGTAGAAGTTTCAGTACCGAGATACGGCATGGTAACATCTACCACATGTATTGAAAAGGACGGGAGGAGGGGGAAGGCTGACCAGGTAGTGAAATTATAATATTAGAAGGATATATTCATTGCCTAGAACATAGTGAAGCACTAGTTCATTAAGGGGGAAACAAGGGTTGAGTCAGTGCAGCCATCATTTATATTCTTTACTAATAAGCCTGCGTAACGCGAATCGTTTAGAAAAGAAGAGTTACATCTTGATAGCGTCTGGACTGTTTTGCTACTACAAAAGCAGCTGGACGGCTTTTAAGTCATCTCAAATACTCTAAATACGTTTCTGAAAATGATTTTCAAAAAGCATGGCAAATTAAATCAAAAAGTTGATTTTTCTCCTTACACGTGCTAGGTGGACAGTCTCATTGAAAGAAGAAAACTTTAGATAAAAGTATGTTAGGAGAACCTTTGAAAAAATGGGTGCGGATAGTATGATAAAACACCGTAAGAATAGCAGGGTGATAGAATCACCTGAGCAAGGCTCGGCACGAGTTGAACCGAGGAGTCTATGACAGGGCTCGGCACATGACTTGCAAGCAAGCTAGATATCTTTGGGACAAAAAGCAAAGGCCTATCTTTTTTGAGGCCGAAGGACAACATTTCTAAGTCGATGTTGGGTTTTTTCGTTTAGGGTTAGGGTCAAAGGGACTTCGCAAAAAAATCCGAAAAGTCAAGCGAGAGTTCGTTTTCTGCATTTTCCAAGAAAAAAATACCTCGCGCCGAGCCTGGTTTATGAAACGAGTCCCACGTGAATTTACAAGATGTTACGAAGTCACGTTTGAAATTTTTGGACTTTAAACTAGTAACCCCTATTTGGCTTTCTGTCTTTATTCGTGTGTGGCCTAACCAGACCAAGAAGCCGAAAACGAAGAAAAAGAAAAAAAGCCTTTGCCTTCCCTTCTCTCTCATCCGCTACTTTCCCTCCCTCTATCTCTCCACTTCGCCGTCCTCCCGCCCTTCGAATGAGAATGAGTCAATAGAGCTACAAAAAATGGAAAAAAAAGACGAAGATAAGCATATACATCGAGTGGCCATGGAAAATGAATGATTCGCGCGTCAGTTTGCTTAGGGGCGCACTTTGTGACCTCAGCATACTACGAAGCCATTGCAAAATTTTTAGATTTGAGATAGCTCAAAGAAAAGGTCATAAAACCGTTTTTCCTCTGCATGAAAACTCACAGTGAAGATACAATTTATGCAAGAAGGTACGAAAAATTGGTGAGCAAAGGTCTTAGCTAGTCGCGATATAGAGCTTCCTTTCGCTCACCTTGATTCACTCACGAATGTAAGTATAAGATGCTGCATGACAGGCGCAATATCTTTGGGAGCGAACGCGGTTTCATTAGCCGCAGATCGCATGAGGCGCAGGATTTAAAGGCAGTGGCTCGCAAAACCAAACATCTCAAAATTTTCATATTGAAGGTGGCTTGTACCCCGACCATGAAAACGGAGCAGGTCCAAGCGCACAGCATGCTGTCCCTGCCTAGAAAATTTGCCTCAAATCCGTGCGCGCAAACCATTCTTACACGCGCTCGGACGAGCTTGCGATATCTCTCACACCGTTAGAGGCGGCCTCCAGCAACGCTTTGAACATGAGGGTCCCACAACGACTCTACGTCTCCAACCATGGCGGGAAGCGTTCCACTCGTCCAAGTTCAAAATGAGGGACCTTGAGAAATGCTGGTTTTTGCCATTTTCGCGCTCTTCAGGTTGGACTTTCGGCATCAGCGCATCGAATTACTCCGGATAAGCAAAAAAAAAACCACAGGTCGAGGATTTGCCGAGCCACTGCCTTTAAACGGTGAAGGTACGTGCAGTGTTCGCATACTCTCAATAATACAGATTCTACGCCTTCGTATTTAGCAGCTTTACGTGCACAATGTCCACGGAACTTGGACAGTCTGCGTTTTTGGCATCGAGGCTTCAGAAGTTTTTGCTTTTGCGAATATGCTTGATTTTAACAGGTATTCACTTTTCTTAGAGAGAGCATGGTTGTCACGATATGACTGTATCTTTGAAAGGGCCGTCGTTTCCATTATTCGCTTCGCGGTCATGAAGACATGGGAGATAAACCCGTAAGTCATTTTCAGCTGCAACCTGTGATCTATATATTGCAGAGCCGAGTGACGTCTTTACCTCATCCCGTGGACCTTTATAGAGAAATGTTTTGACATCACAGTGGAAGGGTTTGAAAGGACTACGTTATAGGACATCTGAACATTGACTATCTCAGCTTCGCTTTTGACATACGGTGTTATCCAACTCGTTGCAACTGATTCATAGCTTATCATCAAGGCACATCAAATGTCCGGCCCTCTTTATTTTCTTGTTTTTGACGCATGCGGTAGCGTTTCTGACCTTCGTCTGCGGCCAAGGTGGACACCACGTTCCCTCTTTCACCTGAGCGAATCGGCTCACCGCGAGCTCCCTCTTTCTGCGGTACTTTTGTTGATACACACTCAAAAAGGAGGAAAGACCGCCGCGTTGAAGGAGTGATCCGCATTTTTGGTCTTCTTCATTATGTTCTCAACAATTTCTATGCTTCATGCTGCTGCTGCTAACTTGCTAAGTGCTCATATTTTTTCATGTAGTGGCATGGCTCCAATAGGAATATGTACAAATTCAAGGTGCAAGGACATCGTATGCTGCAAAGCATTGTATGCTTCACAATGTGATAAAAATGAGAATTCCTCTCAACGAATTCTTCGTGAATTCAACCAGCTGCTTATGCGGGAGAACAGTAAGCATTTGTAATTCTGTGATGTTGATATGCTACTCGATTGCAAGATGCAAATTAATCATGATCTTCATTGCTCACAAGAGAAATTTTAGATGGAGCCCAGCACATGTATGCTATGCAAATTGTCATGCGGAATAACTTCTTTGATTAAATACAAGGTGAAGGGGAAATTTTGATTGTGGGAATCCCGTGTTTTCATTCTAGTCCATATAAATAGGCACCACATACTGTGAAAATGTCTCTCTCCAGTGGACTTCACCAAGATGGTGAGCCAATTCAGAACATGCTAGTCTCCCGAAACTGTCGCTCTTGCAGAACATCCTGAAATGGCTCTTGATTTGCATAGTTTTTGCTGGATACGCTACATCAGCTCCAACAATGTATCCCACATCGCTGGACCCATGGGATGAACAAAGGCCGTGGAAAGTAACTCATAGACCGTGGGGAAACCCCTTCACAGTCCACTAGAAGACAATGAATTTCTGAATAAATCGTTTGTAGCAAAAACATGTTCTATACTGGCATGAGCATTCTATTGGTGCAATTCTTGAAAATAACTCTAACTCAGACAATTCATCGCAATTTCCGCAGGACAAACAGGATTTGCAGCGATTCCGCAGCACTTTCTCAACCATTGAGAAAGTGCACGCTTCATTATGCAGGGTTTCCGCAGGGGATTGACGTCAGAGGGATCGTAAACCGGAAAAAAGCGGAAAGAATCCGATCGAGAATTTGTGTGTTCTCCTACTGAGTTCATATAAATAGGCACCAAACTGTGAAGATAGGCTGCGTTCATACTGATTCCCATGTTCTGGAACTGTTCCCGCACAGCCCTCGCACTGTGCTGAAACTGTGCGGGAACAGTTCCAGAACATGAGAATCAGTATGAACGCAGCCATAGCTTTCTCACCCAATTGAGATGGTGCGGCTCTATTTATCAAAACATGCTGCCCTTCCAGAGACTGTCGCTACAGAACATCGTGAACTGAGTCTTCATTTGCGCAGTATTTGTTGGATGGCTATAGCAGCTCGTGAAATTGTCAGTGGTTCTGTAGACGGATTGTCGGCGGAGAGCACCTGTATAGGAGATGCGTCGCTTCATAACCCAGTCAAAAGAAGAGCGTATTACATTCCAGATCGTCCATTTCCGCTACCTGGACCTGGACCTGGGTTCCGGTTCCTGTTCTCGCAGAATATGCTCCAACTAAAAGTGGCTCAAGAAGTCTACAAATAAATGTCTGAATAAAGCACGCGCTCGCTGTCGCCTCTTACCAAGCTTATAATGCTCTGGGAGCCACTAATCTCAACCGCACCGCGCATTAGGCTCGATTCATACCGATCGTAGGTTCCGGAACACTTCCGGCACGGCGCTCGAACTGTGCGCTGTGATGGAACTGTTCCGGAACTTACGGATCAGTATGAACCCATTCTTAGTGTTCAGAGCTAAGCCGGCAATTAGATTTCACAAGATATATTGAATATAGGTGGAAACACTCTCGCTTTAAGATATTGAGCATATTCAATCTAGTCAAATGAATGCAGGCCCTAAATGTTTACAGCTTCAAGATCGTTGAAGGTAGCGTCCAGCCATCTGTCCCCCAGTACCGTTTGAAGTGGACGACTTGCACCGGCTTGAAGGGTTTTGCGCGGCGACCTGTCGCGTGGGGTATCCATGCAATAGCACGGAACTCAATGTAACTCGCCCACCTTATACGATAGCGGGTCAGGTTTGAGGACGGATATCTCAGCCGCGTGTGCTCCATCGGCCGCCGTCTGTGCAGTGTCTTGCCTAGGCTTCTAAAGACAGTTTCCACTTGCGACCCCCATGTGTTCAGATTTGCCTGGACGCTGCCTCAAAAGCAGTAATAGACAAAGGTGAACATTCTATCAATGTGTTAAGTAATTCTTCTTTCAAGTATGGAAATGGAGAAGGTAAGGATATTCGTCGACGACTGCCCCGATTCGTGCATTTACACCACCGGGGGCGTGCCTATTTGGAGCCTTTTCAGCTTGACAGTACACTGCAGCGTGCCGGGACTTCGTAGCTCGCAGCAACACTGTCCTTTAGGCTGTTGTGTTGATTAAAATTTTTATCTGTGGTATAAAAGATATGGCGGCTATAAAGATTTCAATCAGTCATTCGTTTTCCCTTTCTCTTAGGTTCTCTCGATGTCCGATATCCTACGTTCTTCTTTGATGAATACTGAAAGGTAAGGAAAAAACTTGTTTAGGCATTCTTCAATTCCTCTTTCTTTTTACATGCCAAACATTCTTTCACAAAGTCGTGAACCATCGCCTTGGACAAAATTAGGTGAAAGTGTGTACTTTGTTCATAAGCAGTGGTGGCTATCATGTATTTTTCTTAGATAAGGCCACTCGTAATGTTTAGTTCAGCACTACTACCTGGTGTCCCTGATATAGGAGTTCTCAAGTAATCAATTCAGTAGTCTGTCTTAGAACATGTTCGTTAGAAAACATTGAAGAAAACATGCGATCCCAATCGTAGCCATACAATACCGCTCACATTTTTTGAAAAAAAGACGCGAATGTATGGACATGTATGGACATGTACGGACATGTCCATACATGTATGGACATGTCCATACATGTATGGACATGTCCATACATGTATGGACATGTCCGTACATGTCCGTACATGTCCATACATGTATGGACATGTCCATACATCAGCGTCGCGTGACCATATCTCGCTTCAGAGTGGATGAATTCTGAATCCAAAGCGACCATTCGATTCAGCTCGGCGCGGAGAATCTTCCGATATATTGGAAGTGGGGGTATGATGTCTTCGATATTCCGTTTCCAGTTTTTTCAATTTGTTCTGCGGAGGTCCTTTCGCGAATATGTGAAGCAACGCCTACCCAGCATAGAAGACTTTACTAAGTACTATTCGATAATCCTGTTCTTGTAGATTATTGTGCGCTAGAAAATAGGCTCAGACTTCTTTCCAAAGGAGATGAAAGCGTTGGTGAATTTTGGAAAAATCACGCGTTTTTAAATTCTACTCGCCATAACTTCCTTCGGAATAAGTATATTTTGAATCCGAAAGCAGCGCCTTGCTCAGCTCATCAAGTCGAATCTTCCTATATACAGCATGTCCTTGATATTTCGATTTCAGTATTCTTGAATCTTTCTGAGGACGTCTTTTCGCGAAGGTGTAAAGCAGCGAGCATTGTCCCGAGTACATTCCAGCAAGAATCTTTCGATAGCACTTTTTCTTTAGATTATGATGTGCTAAATAGTAGCCGCAGGTTTCTTTTCAAAGGAAATAGAACGGCTGGTGAATTGTGGAAAAATCTTGTCGTCCCAAATTCTACTCACCATACCCGCAGGATACGAAGCTATCTTGCTAAGCAGATGTGAGTTTCGAAATCAGCAGGTCGGATAACCTCTGTGAGCAAGTTTTCCGATATGTTCGGGTTATTCCATTTTTTTCTCGTTTTACGCTCCAGAAGCTCGCCGATGGATTTTGGTCAAAATGTTGATGCTCCTGAATTGTAAGGAAACTTCGCTTATAGAGGTTTTCGAACACGCTCTTTACGAAAATCGTGGTCTTTGAGGATTACAGGGTCTTTTTGGAGTAATACGGTGAGGTGACTGTAACTTCATCACGAAAGTACGTAACTTTGGCCGCACTTCTCGCGTATCTGTCAGAAACCTTCCCTGCTTTCTCTTTTCAGTCAAAGTTACTAGGAACTGTGCTATCGAATGGTGTATTAGTCAGGCTCCAGTCTGTGAAATTCGCCGAGTTACGAGCCTACGAAAACACGTCCTCATGAATTTTGCCCAAAATGTAAAGATCGCATATCTCGTCGAAATTACTCCGTGAGCGCTTGTATGACACTCGTTGCAGATCTTATGTTCGCTTCGTCGAACGACTCCCACTGCACTGAATATGGTGCTTGCGTCTGCTTCAGCTGCTCAATTGAATATCAAAGCTATTTCGTGGCTAGAGCTCAAAAGCACCAAATCTAACACAATAAGATCCATTGAAAATGTGGAAGGATTTGATCAGCGCGTTGTATTAGGTCATCCGGAAAGTTTTTTCCTTTCTGCGCCTTTGATGTTGATACCATATTTTAAGAGGGTGTCAGGGGACTGATAAGGGTCGCCATATGTAGATCATGGATCTGTAGAGGAAGTCTTCTAGTTTCTGGGATCCCACCGAATTTGCAGAAGACGCTTTGTAGGAAAGTTTACGCGGCTCTAAATTCGACATACGAAAACGCGATTTTCGAATAACTGTATTCTCTAAGCTTAAATTTGAGCGTAAGACCGTTGAGGAAACCATCACTGTGCGCAATGCATTTGCCAAGACCACGTCTTTCTTGAGGTAGGTTCAAGTTTACTTCAGAAAGTTCAGATCTAGAGAAGTGAAAGCTAATATTTTGCAGTGTCCTGGAAGGTGTTTCTGCCATATAAACGAGCATCTCATAGGGTCCTTTGGAACAAATCGCAATTATGGCTGCGTAAAATTATCAGCAGGCCCTGAAGTGTCATATAACCCTATTAGGAGCCACCTTCGCTAAAGCTGCAATACCGAAAAACTTCAGCGACATGTACCCCACAAATTGTCGCACTCGCATATTGAGGGCGCGTTGACTCTGCTTTCGTCGCTCATTTTATGTAGCAATCCTTTTCCAGCCTGCGTTATTAATTACAGCAAAAAATTGACCAAGTGCGGCTATGAGAAGCGACAATGTGGTAAATCATTTGGAATAAGCATTGAAAGCAGGACCAGAACAATCTGTCATTCCAAAAGGTTGATGCATTCAAATTAATGTAATCCTGCTGGTCTTGTACGCTATAAACTTGCTAAAATCCGATTGTGCTGTAAGAGCAGAGTAGTGTGATGTCGCTCTGAAGACTGTTTGTCAAAATTTCAAAACTGAGCAGACTTGCACGTATAAGCTATGAGAGATGCAATCCACGCCCATGACTTCGCCAAACCACATGTAATAAAAGTGGCTCTCACAAAAGGGGTTGACTGCGCACCGAGGTTTCTGTTTATTTTCCAAACTCCTTAGACCTTCCATCCTTCCAGTCACCGAATTTTCCAATTCCTCGGTGCCTATTAAAATATAATAGGACCTAATAGAGATTGACTAATCAAAAACGCCTTTTCAGGCAGTGATTCCTCTGAGATCACCCCGCAAGAGAAAAGCACAAGAGCACTTCAAGAGTGTAACCAGAAATTTACTGAACACAATGCAGTTTACTTGATGGAAAAAGGTTGAATCAGGAAAAAATTGTGCTCGTTTGAATTTGGAGGTGCAAAAAGAAAGAACATTCCGAATGACCTAATACAAGCGCTCACGGAGGAATTTCGACGAGATACGCGATCTTTACATTTTGGGCAAAATTCATGAGGACGTGTTTTCGTAGGCTCGTAACTCGGCGATTCACAGACTGGAGCCTGAGTAGTACACCATTCGATAGCACAGTTCCTAGTAACTTTGACTGAAAAAAGCAAGCAGGCAAGG